CATAATATTCCACTCATTTTAGTGCTTGCAAGTACTAAATAAGCTACCATGGCTCCAAAGAAAGCTCCTAGTGCCAAGCCTGTGGTAAAGAAATTGAGAAATATGTACAGTGACAAAGTCTTGTACCATTTTAGGGAAGTGTTAAAGAGATGCCAGAAACAGAGCTCTCTCCACAGTTACTTTGCAAGACAGGACTAGAGTGACTCTCAAGGTGGTCCTAGTGGCATTAAGAAACAGAGAAGAGAAGCAACCCCAGAGAAGCAATTGGTACCTGAGGTGTTGCTGGAAGGGGATTTCCCTTCCAAACTGTAAACAATCCAATCTCTCTCCTCCTCCAGTCTCCCATACACTAAGAAGAATCTGCAATAAAGGTAAGCGTTATGCTGTTAATGTTTCATTCATCATTTCCCATTGTATTGTTTATGTACTACATGTATATTTCATGTAAAATTTTTTTTTGTTTTAATACTTCTGAGTGTCAGAAACGGATTAATTGTATTTACATTATTTCTTATGGGGAAAATTGATTCGCAAATCGTAAATTTCGTTTATAGTAGCTCCTCCAGGAACGGATTAATTACGAAAAACGAGGGACCACTGTATATATGAAGGCATTGTGAAGCATGTTATGAGTGCACCATACAAATGAAAAAAGTGCAACAAAATAGGACCAAGTGCAGTCGTTCCTGCCCTTTTAGGTGCAGTTTTCAAGTTTCGGTATATAAATATTTCCATAAAATTTGGTAGTGTATATATGAATTCAGTAATGGTCTGGGTGTGTACAGAACGTTTTTATTGTCCTTCCAGATCAATAAGAAATTGTTCTACGGTGAGTCCTCCAAGGATAAGTCGAAATTTGTCTGTGTTTGGGATGATAGTGACTCAGATCAAGACCCAGATGACCTGGAAGTGGTGGAAACTGATGATGAATACTTACCACAAGATGCAGAGGTGTCAACAGATGAGGAGGAAGCTTTGCCACCATCCAAAAAGAAGAAATTGAACAAGAAGAAACTTGCTTACATGCAAGTATTGCAGCAACAAGAATAATCATGTCACATCCTCATTTTTCTGTGCCACATGCAAAGTAAATCTATCCATCAAGAGGGATAGAAATTGTTTCATAAAGTTTCATTGCAGAAATTAGTGATGTAAAAGGATTGTTCTTTCTCAGGGAGCTCAGCAATATTTCATTTGTAAGTTGTATCCCATTGCAATGTGTCATTGTTGATAAGTAGTTCCTATTTCTATTTTTTTACTGCTTACAAATTGTTCAGAAACAAGTTCCATTTATGTTTTTTATATTGTCTACTTGTATAATAAATTTAATTTTTTTTTTACAACAATTGCAACCTTGCAACATTCTAAATTGTTATACCCCAAACGGGCAGGACCGAATATACTCGGTCTTCGAATGTCTGCAATTGCCCGAGATGTTACTTTCACAACTCCGTTTGGATGGTCTCAGTGACCTTACATCAAGTGGCTCTATCTCCTCATACAAAATCACTTTCAAAATCATCCACGTATCAAAAACCCACATGACAAATGGTGGCAGCGGTGGGATTAAACTCTTGGATAGTCAAGGTCCATCTGGCTAACCTTCCAGTAGGTTGTTTGTTCTGGAATAAAGGTATCAGTGGAGCATGGTCTGTCAAGACATGAACAGAGTACTGATAAATAATGTCTCGGAAGAGCTTTAAAGACCATACTATTGCTAAAGCTTCTTGCTCAGTTACTGTATAATTACGTTCAGCCTTCGTAAGGACTCGGCTAGCAAATGCAACTGCGTTGTACTTGCCATCAGTCTTCTGAGCTAGTACGGCACCTATGCCAATAGAAATAGCATCAGTAGTCAGATAGAAGGGCTTAGAAAAATCTGGAAATTTCAAAATTAGAGCAAATGTTAGCTTTACTTTTAAAGTTTGGAATGCTCTTTCTTGACGGAAGGTCCAAACAAAAGGAGCACCTTCTTAAGCAACTCAGTTAGAGGAGCAGCTATGGAAGAAAAATTGGCAATGAAAGATCTATAAAAACCTGCTAAGCCCACAAAGGATCTTACAGCATCAGCAGTTTTGGGAGCTGGAAAATTTAATACTGCAGTTACTTTACTTTGGTCAGTTGTAACCCCTCTAGGAGTGACTACGTGACCAAGAAACTTAATTTCTGATCTGAAAAATTGACATTTAGACAGTTTGATCTTTAAATTGGCTTCTTCAAGCTTACCAAGTACTACATCAAGTCTTTTCAAGTGTGTATCCACGTCTTTAGACATGACGATTACGTCATTTAAGTACACCATAAGTGCATTACCTATGAGACCTCTAAAGATATTAGTCATGAGCCTTGAGAACGTGATAGGGGAGGATCGTAATCCAAACGCCATACGGAGGAAGTGATAATGACCTGTAGGAGTGGAGAATGCAGTTAGCTCTTGGCTGTCCTCATGAAGAGGGACTTGCCAAAACCCTTGTAACACATCCAGGGTTGAAAAGACTGTTATCTCCGATGTTACGTAAAGATCACCCAGTACAGGAAGTGGGAAGCGATCTGGGATAGTTTTCGCATTTAACTTCCTAAAGTCAATCACTGGGCGCCAAGTACCATCCTTCTTAGGTACTAGGATCAAGGGTGCATTCCAAGGTGAATTGCTAGGTGCAATAACTCCATCATCAAGCATTTGATTGATCAATTCTTCTGCGACAGCAACTTGTGAATGAGGCATTCTGTACGCAGGTATATAGATAGGTCTAGTACCAGGTTCAAGTGGAATACGATGGGACAATAAGTTCGTTATACCCATCTTCTCACCTGGTAAGGCAATGGCTTTACGACGTTTGTTCAACAGAGTCAACAAACGCTTGACTTCATCTGGGAAGTCAGTGGGAGCTATGTCTTTCTCCTCAACTGGTGGAACAGATTGATCCGGTGAAGTGGATGAGGTCTCCCCGGTAGAAATAGCACCGACCCACTGGTCAGGTGACAACTCATCCTCTACCTGAACAGGGTAAGGATAAAGTCGGTTCGTAAGTCAGTTTGCGTGCGGCCAGCAATAACAACCTGGTTGATCAGGCCCCGATTCATCACGATGCCTGGTCATGGACCGGGCCGCAGGGGCGTTTATCCCCGGAACACCCTCCAGATATACTCCAGGTATACTGTTATATACAGGGTGTCCCAAAAATATATATCCACGCTTTATCAGCCCATAGCTTTGTAGCCCCTTTAATTTTTCATGTGAAAATTGGCCTTTAGAAATGGATAATAACAGATTTACGTTTTAATAACGTAAATTTGTACTGAACTAGCACAGGAAATGTGAAAACATAAGTGGAGTCCAAGGACAGTGGAATGTTCTAATGAAAATAAAGGACAAGTGTGTGCATATTTATCTTGGAACACCCTGTAGCTATCTCCAATTCATTTGATATATTGCATTTATATAATTATATATATAATGTTCGTGTGTGTGTGGTTTGGTTAGGTAGGTTCGTCAGGAAAGAGGACAAGTGTTTCCTGACGAACCTACTTAACCAAACCTCATATATTACATATACTGTATATGTATGTGTGTGTGTGTGTGTGTGTGTGTGTGTGTGTGTAAGAGAGAGAGGGGAATGAGGGAGGGAAAAGAAAACAGAATTGATGGAAGGTGAAAAAAGAAAGGGAGGGAATGGAAGGTAGTAACCACGAGAGAAAATAATTATTCATCAATACGAGTTGAGGCAATATGCAGGTGTCTTGAGTTTAGCGCCTACTTGTATTAAATAATATATATGTGTCTGGTACATGTTTCAGCTCCCATCCCCTGCGCACCTCACCCTGGTACTAATTCCCCCAGCGCCCTTCATGGCTCACTCTCAAACCTTTCCTCAAAATTTCTCTAGCCATATTGGCTGAACCGATGATGATGTGTGTTTGTGGGTCACTAAACCAAGTACACAGAAGATGGCTTCTAAACAATCGTCGAAAATCCAGTCTGTTATCCTCGGCGAAAATCTGAGAAAGGTACGAATCTTTCAGAAACTGATAACTAATTCGCTCATTTCATGTTTACAAAATTTTCACTGTTCTTCCAATTTATAAATGTGTTCATAGTGGACAAGAGACATTGTTATGGACTGTGTTGCAGGAGTGAGGAAACACCGGCTATGTTACTACTACAAATGTAGACATTGTAAGAAAAATACTCTATAGAAAAAGAGTGTATATTATGCCCGGGGTTATGGCATGACTACTACATTCCTCTGGTCTCTCTCTTTCCTACAATACTTTATATTTAACACTCTTTAACCCACCTGTCTCATTATTAATGTTTTATTTTACTTAGATTGTTGAAGATGAGTCTTATTTAATGATAATTTAATCTTCAATATGTTTACCATACATAAGTTACTCTTTATTAATGATAATCTTATATATAGTAATTATATCCATTCATAATGTCCCGATATAAGTTGATTAATTGATTTTAGTTAAATTGTTTCATTATAAAAGCTGGATGATATATAAGAGGTGAATGAAGGTAACTTTGATTATTGTCATTAATACTGAGGACCTTGCCAGCTGTCTTATTATTGTTTATTTTGTAATCTAGTGATTTATAAATAATCTGAATCTGAGAGGCGATTATTGGTTATTGAATTATTATCGTTGTTTTCATAAGGAGGGGCTAAAGCAAAGGGGTGGGGTGTTAGGGGTTTATGGTCTTGGGGGTGTTAGGGGTTGCAAGGGGATGGGGTGTTAGGGATTGCAAAGGGGGTGGAGTGTTAGGGGTTGCAAGGGGGTGGAGTGTTAGGGGTTGCAAGGGAGGGTTGGGGTGCAGGGGTTGATAAATTAGACACCTGCAGCATCTAGGTATCTTTAGATATCCAGATATTGCACTTGTCTAATTCTTCATCTTGTCGGTACTGTATACCAGTCATGTACAACTTACGAGGGGTTGTTTGGGCGGCTGAAGGGAGGATAGGAGGGGTGGTGGGTGGCAGTGTGGGCGGCGGGGCGGCCGTACAGACAGTGGTGTTGGAAGCTCCGTGCGGGAAGGACGTCTCACGCTCCTCCACAACCCATTTTTTTTTTAAAAACTTCACAACTTCAGGATGTCACTAACACTCTTGGGCCTGGTGCTGGTTGTTGCTGTTGCTGTTGCTGATGGAGGTAGGCTTCACAATCCTGCAACCACTCCAAAAATTGAAAAAAGGAAAGTTTTTGCGTTTTTTTTTTTCGAATTCGAGCCATGGAAGTGCTTGGTGGGGATGATGTTTACACGTGATGAAGATTGTGTTGTGTCATTATGTGTGTTGGTATTGGTGGTGGGTCTTGATGTTTGGGAACTTGGGTGGTGGGTAGGTAGTGAACCCACCCGGGCACGCCACCCACTCACCTGTGTGCCCACTTGGAGTCATGTAGCCATTGTGTACGTTATTGAATTGTGTACACGCCCACCTGTGTGTACACGCCCACCTGTGTGTACACGCCCACCTCTGTACTCGCCTAGTTGCATGCAGCTGTATACCATGTGTACACGCCCATCTGTGCACCCACCTAATGTCTTGTAGCCTTATGTATACCCCCACATAAGTACCTGCCTACCTGGGGTATACACACCTACTTTCATACACGCCCAGCGTACAGCCTTGTGTGCACACCCACCTCTTTAAACCCTTAGCTGTGTACACACCGCCTGTGTATTCCCATGTGTACTCATTTTTGTTTACACACCCACCTGGAAATACACTTTTACACTCCATGTTAATATAAAACTTTACACTCATTTTAATATACATTTGTTTACACATTTACCTATAATTTCCTACTTGAGTTTATGTGGGTTGAGTATCAGTTCTTGGTCCAGCATCTTAACTTCCGACCGATTGACGTGACAGTTCTGTCATGTCTATTTTTGAACCTGTATCGGCACTGTATGACCTTTGTAGGTTTAGCGCTTCTTTTTGATAATTTGAACCCGTATGTGAAATCCGCTTCCCTTCTACCATTGTTCCAGGGTTTTCCCCGCTCAAACTACTAATTCTTAGAAATGTTTCCTGTTATTCCTGACTCACTTGGGCGCATAATAGCTACTGTTTCCTCTTATACATACCAGGATACAACACCTAGTACTGTACATACTTGTGTATACACATCAAACGATGTAGTGGAGGCAGGATCCATACATAGCTTTAAGCAGAGGTATGATAAAGCTCACGGTTCAGGGAGAGTGACCTAGTAGCGACCAGTGAAGAGGCGGGGCCAGGAGCTTGGACTCGACCCCTGCAACCTCAACTAGATGAGTACAACTAGGTTAGTACATCTGATGTATGTACAAGCGTGTAGACGTATATTACCAACGTACGTGCCACCACATACCACGATTAACCCGCACTTGGAAGAAGAAAATTATGGCGACGTTAGATCAGGGTCTTTGTAAATTGTTCCAGCCACGGTGTTGTAACCACTAATGTACATGCCTACACATAATTTAAATGCGAACGTAGTTGCTTGTGGGCATACTCACATGAGCATGTGTCAAGAGATACACCCATGTACACGAGCACCCCTAGTTTGGCGCACCAACCGGTGTACACCAACTTCTGTGTTAAGAGTGCTTAAGTACATCCCAACAAACTGTGCACATTGTGTGCATGTCCCCCTTAAGGGAAGTTCCTTGATGCTGGTTAGTTCCTTGATGCTGGTTAGGAGCTTTTGGTCCAAGGAATTAGTCTCGACCTTCCCTTTGGTTCGAACTGGATTCCCTCTGGTCGTGGACTTTATGCACTCGTGCCGTGCGTTGAATCAAACCATACCACGGGCGGGAATAGAACCCGCGATCAGTCATAAAACTCATGACCGACGCATGACTGATCACGGGTTCTATCTCCGTGGTATGTTTTGTTTGCAATCGTGTCATTACGATTTCGTGAGTCGCGTTGAATCAGATGGCATTTTCTGTCCCAGGATTCTGTCGTGTGTTAGTCACAAGGACGGTGCTTGTCTGGTGTGATGCATAACGGTCCTCATCGTGGCACTGACTTTAGGCTTTCCAACATTTATACGATACATACAGCCATGTGCAGTCATGTATACAGACATGTATGCTTATAAATATATGCTGGGGTTTAGCAAGAGTGTTTAACTGGTTATCTAAAATGTTAGGAATAATTTATATTTTTAAAATATGCTCTTCCCCAAAGAAAGCATATTTATAAAGAATGAGACTAATTACATTATTAACCCTGGATGGTTAATAACTCACGGTGGGTTCTATAGAACCTTCCCTAGGATACGACTGTATTCGGTGTGATTTTCACTCCCAGATTATTTTTTTTAGTTTCTCCTACAAGTCTACTTCGGTGTCTCATCTGACTATCTTGTATTAGTTTAGGTTGAACTCAGGCAGCCATTTTTTTTAACAACCCCTACAACTTTTCTGCCTCACAGACCGTCTGTGTCCTCTTAAAGTTCTGTTTCACATCACCTGTAAATATAGACTCAGAATTTGATTCCCTGTGGCACGTCATATACTTATCAGGAAAAGTGGTTACAAGTACTGATCCTTGGGGAATCTTGCTTGATATTCTTGCCCATGCCAACACGTTATGCTGACATAACGACTTTGGTTTATTTTATTTTTTTACCAGTATATTTAGTGGTGTCGAGTCTGCGTCTGTTTTAATATAGCTGTGTGATAATAGTCTGCCCTAATTTCACATGTAATTTTTGCTTCCGGTAAATGTGATAGGAACGAGGTGCAGAATGCAAAGAGCAGTGGTAAACATCCTTCCATTGTGATGCTGCGAATGTGCGTGCTCTCTCTCTCTCTCTTTTTGACTTTTTCTGTCCTCTCTCGGCTAAAATATTAGACAGCTTTAATAAACAATTAGATAAATATAAGAGTGGGAATGGTTGGGCGTAAGATTTATTTAGCACGAGTCAGTAGGCCTATTACAGTGTCCGCTCTTCTATTATGATTTACATATAACCTTCACTTGGGAGTTGAAACCTTAGATGAAGCTTCAGTCAGCCAATGACTACTGTCAAGCCGCGAGTGAGAGAAAAGAGAAAGCCAGAAGACAGGTTAGGTGAAGAGGCAGCCAGAAACCGGAGAGAACTTCACAGTGGTCCAGGAGGGGCCGAAACATCGTTTCGAGTTTTCTCTCGAAAGTGCTGGATATTTGTGAATAACTTAAGAGCCGCGGGACACTACAGTAAGTTCACTTGCCCATGCTAGACAGGCTTTTATAATTTTGTTTTAATAGTTATTATAGTTACAGTCACGGGCAACTCTCCTTTAAGAGCTAAGCTTTTCCCTGCCTTTTTTTGCAAATCAATTTACACTATATTGCTTTCACTCTTACGCTGTATAGCCCTTGTGGCTTAGCGCTTCTTTGATTATAATAATTTCACTCTTACACTTAAATCTCACTAACGCTTAGTAAATATTCCGCTTTCACTCGTACGTTCATTCTCTCTCTGTTTTGGTCTCCAAATGAAGATGTATTAGACACGGTACCAAAAAAAAAAAAAAAAAAAAAAACTACCAAGCTCGTATCATCATTCAGAAACAAACCTTATGAAGACTTGAAACCTTTTTTTTTCTCGTAGGAAACAGACTGCGAGATCTCATTCAAATCTTTAAAGATATCGAATGGCTTTGAAACACTAATTAAGTAACGGTAATTGTAGTCCATGTTTTCCATCCACTTCCACCTTTGCTGTCAATTTCATGTCATTTTTGAAATATAGTATGAAATGTTTTTTAACCCAGTTTTTGTGCTGGCAGTGGCCTGAGAGAGAGAGAGAGAGCCTTCAGCTTTTCTATTTATGGCTCGTACATCTAGATAATACATAGTTCTCAATCTAGATAAGAATAGATAGTTCTCAGCAGGTTGCCTGGGTGTGGACCTGAGAAATCCTCAGCTGTCATTATTTACTCAGTTTTCGCTTTTACTCTTTGGATAATTCGCTCTTATTATCACATAACATTCTGACTTTCACACACTCGATGGTTCTAATGTCAAGTATGTATTGACTCGTTCTTATTAAACCTTTCTCTCATCAAAATATTGCTCGTGCTCCTGAGACATGAAAAGGCTACACGCGTAGGGGTCGTACAGCGCCTGGAGTAAGGTGAAATCTTGTTTGAATCATGGGGTGAGAGGGTAGCTCAAATTCTTAGAACCCTTTGGCACCAAGGTACTCTTGTATGAAGAACACTGGCACAAAGTCTGTAAGTGAAATAAGATACAGTTGTAGAGAGTAACTTGATAAGTCGTTCACCTGTGGACAGACTTTTTCATTGACTGAAGAAGCCTGTCCCACAAGCGAAACTTCTCAATAAAATTTGCAGCTGTCTTTCACCAAGGCACTCTTGAATATGCTTAAAACCTGAAAAAAAAAAAATAGGGTAAACATTGCGAAATATAAGTTCTTATTTCATATATTAAGATTGTGTCATTTTTTGCTTGGAATGTAATTTAGAGAGCAAGTTTCAGTACTAATGAAAGTTTTCTTACACAGTGTAACATTAACTCTTATTTACAATGACCTGGTTAGATGTTTTTGGAAGTTACAGCCTTTATGAAGGTGGAGTGTAAATAGCTGATTTCTTTCGTGTTACAAAAGCGAAGAGATTTTCACCATTGATAGATCTATAATTTAGGCTTCCATCACAATGGCGTTGCTGTATAGTCTTGACCTAGTACACTCCGTCAATAGATGTGTTGATGAGGCTGCCTTTAATAGCGAAGGTCCTGGTAACATTGGTATTTCTTGCGTTCGCGTTAACTGACGTGCTCGCGAAATTTCTTATCTAACCTGATTACCTCTCATTACCCAGGCGTGAATGACCCTCACGGACTTGTTACTTCCCCGGGAATATTGTAATGTTAGTCTCCGTTCTTCAGTTAGTTTTTAATATGTAGTTGAAGGAATGTAAAATGGGAAGAAGCTAGAGGCAGAAAAACTTCAGTATGGTAATATTCAAGTCGTAATTTAGTCGGTGAGTTAGTTAGTTTAATATCTTTATTATGCACCCCATACCCATCCTGTGGGCGGTAGTCAAAAGATTACAATGGTACATAATGGGTCCAGTGACTGGACCCCAAAGTTATGATAGCTGAACTAGTTACAAAGGTAATGAACTCCAGGTAGATCTGGTC